CGACCCGGCCCCGGATAAAGCGGATGAAGATGGATGGATGGATGGATTGTTGAGTAAATTTCTGCTTTTCTATTCTGGCCTGCAACCAATCCAAAAGGACTGTATTGTTTTACACTGAATTTTTCTGACTCACTGTTACAAAAATACAGCGATTTACCTGTTCTTTAAATCTCAGTGTAATAAAATCATTAACTGGATATATTTCATTTAAAATGGTTTAAAATGTTGTCTCCAAATTTTGGTTATCTGATCTGATAGAGATAAAAATATCTTATAAAGATATAGTGTCTTTTAACCTGATTAGTATAATTTTTTTTAGCATTAAATGTAATATTTTCATTGTGGCGCAGATCAGGATCTTTGAAATCTCTGAGTGCTGCAGATCTTCGCTAAAGTTTGAGAGAGTGGGGCTGTTTTATCAACTTGTTATAGATTTTTATATTAAAGCGAAGACTGAATTTAAAACAAAGTTCTTGACACGGCAACGCACCACCAATATCATTCATGAAATGTTATATTGCCCAAACGGATATTACTGAGATTGGTGTAATTAAGAAAACTTTGTTGTTGTTTTTCAATATTTTGACCACATGGGGGCGCAGTAAACATTCGTAAACTACCACAGCCCGTTCAGACTGTAATAATAAACTTCTTGTCAACAATTTATTATACTTTTAAAGTTCTTTTGTGTAGTTTATATGATTTATTTTCAGATAATTTACTTGGCTTGTAGTTTTTATTTTGTGCCAATTTTTCAATGTTCAATTAATTAATTTCACTTTATTTTATTTTAGTTTTGTTTGGTTAATCGTCTAAATGCATTAATATTAAATTAATGTAGTCATTGTTTTAAAGGTACGTAACTGATTGTCACTTAAGTAACGACAACTCATTGTTTTATTTAGTCTTAATGTACTTTATTTTTATCTCTTATTTTACTTTGTGTAATTCATTTGATTTAAGTAATTTTATTTTAGTTTAGTATGATTTATTTCATTTCATTTTATGTATTTATTTATTTTTTATTTCGTTTTCTTCGTTTAATTTTTTTACAGCCTTCAATCCTGAAGAATAACTAGCTTGACTCAGGGAAGATTAGTGGTTCATAACGCAAATAAAAGATTTATGAAGTCTGTAGGCGGTAAGAAGACGTCGCTGCTTTGTATAACCGGAAGCCAAGTCTCTTCTTCAAATTCACTACTGTGAACTTCCTCCAGGAAAATCGTTTCGTTTGCCTTCAAAATAAAGGTCTGGCTAAGCATTAGGAGATAAGAAGAGTTTAGCTAATTTTATTCTCAGGTGTTATCGTCACCCTAGCATATTAGCATAGAAAAAAAGTAACTGATTATGTGAGTAATTTCATTCAATAATCTGATACATCCTAAATGATTTGGTGCTCTGATAATTTTGATAGTTGCATATTTTTTATGTTTAACAATAATTTCTGATTTGAGTTCTAGTAGTTCTTACATTCGATGTTGTCTCATTAATCATCTGACAATTCTTCTGACCTCTACAGTTTGGCCTGGGTCTGCCTCTCCACTGTTAGGATAAGAAGATCGTTTGGAACCTTCACTAAAGCTGTTTTTTGTACTGTGATGAGCTCTGAAATCTGACTGGATCTCTTCAAATAAACCATCTTCAGATAAAAGGAAGCTTGGAGATTGGCCTATAATTAGCTAAGACAGTGATGGCCTTTAAAAATTATCATGAAAGTACTTGAAGGCATGTGGTACATAGCTGATTAACAGTGACAGATTAAATGGTGAGGTGTTTCTTTTATTATGTTTATCTATATCATTGGAGCAGAACTGTTTGAAATCTTTCCCTTCTATAAGCGGTAGAAATGTTATATTAATCACTATGTGCCTCATTGTGACACTTTAGGGCACTGTATTGCACAGGTACAAAAGTGTGTTGCCCTTTCATATGTGAACACTCAATATGGTTTCTTGAATTTATTTTTCAATTAACTTTGGCCTTGGACAGTGAGAGTGAAGGTAAAGGTCAAATGCAAGGCCTAGTATGTCTTTAAAACTGTGGATGCTAACAAACAGACACTACATACTCCCTCCCTTGGGGTGGAGTGGGGGGGGGGGGATTATATTAAAAAGAGTGTTTGTCAGTAAAAGAAAAAAACTTATCAATGGATACATCCATGTTTTATATAGACAAAGACTTCTTGATTGATTAATTCACTGACTGACTGACAGATCAGTGGGATTAATTTATAACATATAATTTATTTGTAAGCATTTAGAGAAACGGCACTCCGGGTGGTTTTGTGTTTTATTGTGAAAGTCTGAAACCGGAGGTGTTCACTATAGTTTCGTCACACTGACAGGTTAGTGTCCTCTGCGGCACGCGAAAGTTTATCCACTCTCTCCGGAACTTCGCAGCTCACTGTCCGAACTGACGTTTGCTGCTCCCGGCTCCGGTACCAACTGACGTGCGGATGTTTCTCTCGAACACTTTTCAGAACTTTTCCGCGGGATTTGTTAACGTTTGTTAGCCAACTTTAAAAGAGCCGTTTAACGGAGACACATAGTTTCCGAGCCGCGTAGCTGTGAGTTTATTTTAAACCGGAACTGAGGGGCAAACTAATTAATTTACCATCCACCTGAACGTGACGGAGCTCGTTTTTGTTTTTGTTTTTTACGTCTCGGTTATTTGCTTTATTCCCGCGACATTTCGCTCTTATTTTAACCGGATATCACAGGAAACTTGGAAACTTTCCCGACAACTTGCAGGAAAATGGAGTCTGAAAGCAGATAACATTAAGCGACCAGGGGAAACAGACGTTATTTCCGCTTCATCGGCCGGGTTTTAACGAAACACCTCCGGGACTGTGCGAGCCAGGATGCCCGGAGAGTCCTCCGTCAACTTCAGCGTCCTCCACCGGATTTGTAAGCTGGTGGTGCTGCTCTGTTTTCTCCACATCGCCGTCACCGTGGTCTTCTATGTCCGCTCCTTCGATTTCCGCCTCGCCTTCGTTCAGAATCAGCAGTCCAGTAATAACATCCCTAAGATCCAGAATAACAACCCGGTGGTGACCTCCGGACTCGAGCCTGCGAAAGACGGGGATAAAGTCTCCGAAAAGGGGGAAGTCTTGGAGCAGCCGGTGAAGAAGCTGGAGAAATGCCCCGAGACGTCCCCCCTGCTGGGTAAGACTAGCCAGAACCCTGGTTCTGAGGTCCAGAGTCCGTTTAAAGGTTTAAAACACCACAAACCTCGGAGATTGACTAGTTTCGGTCCTCACACTTTAATAGGAAACAGGGCTGTATAATTGTGACAGTATTGGTTTCTGTGACTTAATAACCTATTCAAACATACTTTTTAGCTCCAACTACCAAAAACAATAAATATACTTTTCACGACTCGCGATCATTTACTTTTTAACGGCATAATGCAGATTATTAACAATTAAAACCAAGCATTTGGGGCTTAAATAGTGTACTTGTTTACTCCCGACACCTTATTGTATTTCTGTAGCAAGATACTGTACTGCTCCTTTAAGTTTCCTCACTAAGAACAAATGAGGTCACTTGAGTGTTTGAATTGTTGTTTTAGAAACGGTTTGTGGAGCTGGATTTTTTAAATAACTGCCTGAGGTTGGAAATGCTGCCTTATTGCAGGGGTAAGACATTGTTTAAGATCCATCCATCCATTCTCTTGCGCTTATCCTTTTCAGGTTGACAATGCTGTGACAGCATGAGTCGCGGCAGAAAAAAGCAGCAAACTGGACATTGTGTCTTCCTTTCCTGTCAAAAACCACAGTTAGGGTAGCTTTATCTACTAAACTTCATACTGGTTGTTATTATTTATGTATGGCACATCCCTCTGCTGTGGAGAAGAGGCGCGAGAACAGTTACTCAAAGAGACGCCTTCACGTGCTCATCTTGTCCAACAAACAGTCCAGACCTCTACGATATTAAATAAATGAAAACGGCAGTTGAAGAGTTTCATTCAGGAATGTGGCTGCCTTAAAGCCACATTCCTGTACTCTTTTTGCCTGTTGCACAATCGAGTTACAAATCACTTCCTGTTCCCACTTTATGGCATTAGAGAGCACCTACTTTCAGTGATGCTGGCAGAAATGAAACTTACAGGTTTTAAAAGTACGATCTAAATATGAAGCTCAAGCTTCAGGATCTGCTGCAGTATCAGGATAGGTGAACAGACAAGGCTTTGCAATTTAGCTGAGATCTTTAGACTTGATCGGGTGTTTTTCATAGGTTTTACATCTTTTTATATTGATAAAAGACCCCTCCCTGCAATAGTAATAGATACACAAAGAAAAAAAGGGTCACCTTCTGGTATAGAAATAACTTTTTCTCTCTCTCTCCCCCCCCTCCCCTTACAGCGAGTTCAAGGAAGTCTTCTGTGAATGAACAAAAACTTCATATGTTATATTTACAGGACAGTCTGGACAATGAACCGTCAGCAGTTATATTTTCTGTGATTTTACACATTTTGTTATATACTTTCACTGATCCATGATGCAAAATAACTTTGAGATCCCTGGACTAGAGTAACCAAATATGTTTTGTGGTACATGATATGTTTTGAAGTGTACCTGGAAATAGCTTAAATGACATCTCGGTCCAAAAATACCTCCTGCCTCCTTCTGTCGTGAGGTCAAAGATAGCTCTGAAGTACGACTGATAAGAACTTGTGCTCTGACTTCATGCTAACAGTTTGTTACCATGAAAAAGTCATTACAAAAAAAGATCCAGTGTAACTCCATTCTTCCTCCTTATTAAGGCTTCTCATGTCTGCATCACTATGAATTATGGGACAGCATTATCTCCTCTCCTTCCATAAAGGATACTGCAGTGTATGCCCAGCTAAATGAGGTAATAAAGGAAGCATTAAAGCACCTTTCCTTTGTATTTGGAGAATTCAAATGACTAATCTTGTCAAATTGCATATGTGTATGAATTTCATGCACACATGCTAAATCTAGCAGTGGGAAAGCTTTAATGTTTTTTTTTTTTTTTAAGTAAACCAATTAGACATAGAAAATATTAAAATTTTAATCACTCCTCACAGTCTTAAACCTCAAATGTGTCTTAAAATCAAATGTGATTAATTTGCTTTAATAATAAGAGTACATGCACGTTTGCATTCATGTGCTCCTCGGAGGGCCGGAATCTCCGCAGCTGAGAAATCATTCCTATGATAGTATTGTGCTGATTTTGGCCGAAGAGGATTACTGCCAGTTAATACCTCTTCCAACTCATCTTTGTCTGTGGATGGTTACAAATTACAAACTAAATCCCAAAAATCCCAAAACAATGAAAAGTTTCAACCCTATTATTGGTAACTTTATTACCATTTTCCCATTATTTATTTTTTAGCCAGCTGGAAAGCTGGAAGCTTTTTTCGATATCACATGACCGCGCAGTAAGATTGAAGTAACCAAAATGAGAGTAATTGTTTTCTGTGTCGTTACTTTTTAAATAGATGAGGTGGAAGAACACGATGAGCTGCCTCCACGTTAGGTTTCATGAATCTGTGGGGTTGCAGATGGCTCTAGTTTAATCACCAGAGTGGGCTTGATTTATGGGGGAGTTTTGTGTGTTCTTGAGTTCATCTGATTGGAGTCCAAACACCGTTCAGGAGATACGACGTACAGCTGCAGCCAGGTGTTCGGTTACCTTTAAACTTCGTAGTTTTGGCTCACATTAAATCTCAGTGTCATCCAGCTGTGATCTAAAGATCTCTAATAAGGTGTTTCCTCTCTCCTCGTGTCTCCTCCTGGTGTGGGGATGCAGTCAGAGGTGCTAGGATGTTCTCCAGATGTGAGATAATGCAAGCCAATCAGAGCCTCTGTACATGCTCCTCCTCTAACTGAGTTTCTGCTGGAGCTCGGGTTTCTGCTAAAGCTGCTCGTCCTCCATGCTTTGTTTGTGAGAAACAGCCGACAGAAGCAGCAGCAGTTTGCAGGCTTACGAGTCTCTGAGGAGGTAGAGTAGAGGAAACCAGATGTTGTCTGTTCACATCTGACCTGAGGTTTCCAGTCCTGAGGCTTCTTTTATAAACACACACATGCAAACACACACACCTCATGTCAAGGTTGGAATTTATAAGATAAAAAACGCTTACAGAGCCCCTTTAGCGGAAACATTCAGACCAGCTGGCTCTCGAGTGCATCTCTTCTCCCACAGACACACTCCATCTCCTCCATGTTGGACTGCAGCTTGGAGTCCTCGTCTTGTTCTGCAACCTCTGTGACTTTGGCATAGCAGCACCCATGAACCAGTTCTCCAGCCTACTGCAGGTTTTAGCTAGAGTGCTGTCACTAAAAGGAGAGAATCCACATTCATGAGGTGCTTTGCATTTTTGGTTGAATGAGCGGTGTCCATTATGAGGTGGACTGTGGTTTTAAAACAAGTCTGTTCCAAATCACAGGTGCAGACAGTGTTATACAATATTTTGTAGTCCAGGTACACTTCTGTGTGCTCTTTCATAAACGTTCTCTCTGCGTGTTTGTCTGGACTTTCAGTTTGATCAGTTTGTGTAACTTTGATCAGGATGTTTGTTATTAGTCTGATGATCTCACCGTTTCCTCAGCTGTGACCTCTCGGACCCCCTCAGACCTCTTAGATCAGCTCTGTCAGCCCACAGACATTCAGCTTCATCGCACTCTTTGGTTTCTGAGTGCGAACTAGTCTGAACCCATCTTGACTTTTAACTACACAGAGAACTTGTGAAAGTGTGGATTTTTAAAATTGTGACCTTTTATTTTAGTTTTAGTTTGCTGTTGGAAAAAAAAATGTGTGACTCAAAATCAGGGGTGCCAAACATTAGGCCTGGGGCCCAGAACCAGCCAGGCAAAGACTTAAATCCGGCCAGACTGGACAGCTTTAGAAAATGTGACAGAAAACATACATTTTTAACTGTATTTTCATAAGCTTTATAGCTTTATCTTTACTGATAAAGACCCAATGTATGGATGTTCATGCTACACAAAAAATATTGTTTTTTACAATCTACTATAGACATTTATATATTTATTTATTCATTTATTTTTGCAGTGTGCAATTAATATTCATTGCACACTGTCCATTTTCTTTCTGTTTGAGCCGGATTAAAATTGCTCTCCTTGGTTATTAATGAGCAGTGAAAATGATCAATGGTTTTACTCTGTGAACTCTGTCAGACATTGTGTCATATAAAGAGGTTTCACTCTACAACACTTATTTGTTTCTGTAAGACCAAAAGCTCCTAATATCTTAACTAATATTTACTCAAGTATTGGGCAGATTACGTGGAGCCACAAGATGGCTCCACGTAATCTACGGCCTGACGGCCAGAGGTCAGTAATGGGTATGTAGGATCAGTCGATTGGTCAGCTGTGGGGTTATTTAGGTCAAGTGACCTGTGTTTGCTCAAATCTCATAGATGGCAAACTGGCTGAAGTGAACCCTCACTATCAAATAGGTTTGAATTTTCACAGTAAAGGAAGCCCATTGAAATCCGCTTGTTAAGTGGATACGATTTGCCATTAGGTCTTTCTGGGTCCAAGCGCTCCTTCGGGTTCCAGAATCAAACAAGCACTTAAAAACAGTCCAAATTCTTCTAGCTCCAGTAAAATGATCTGTGCAAGTCGGCTTTTTAAGGACTGCCCTTAAATCTCCTCAAAGACCAGCTTGAATGATCCAGGAGCAAAGTGACATTATCCAGCAGTTTGTATCCATGGGCAGGAAACGTCCCAGCTTTTAATTCAACGGAAGACCTATGGGCAGTCCTTTAAAAGCACAAACTGTGATCAGCTAGGAGTGCTGGTAAGTCCAGCATGCTACGGAGGATTGAAAATGTTATGAAGGAGTCTCACAACTGTAAATACGGGCTCTACACTGTAAAAGTGAGTTATTTAGCAATAAAGTCTTTGAAACTTATGACATGCTTATAATTGTTGTTCACTGTATCATAGGGAGAAAATTGAGCCATTGCCCAAACTTTTGTATATGACTGTAAATACTCAGCGCAAGATTAACTCCCCCTTTATAAAAAAACAAACAAAAGTCCATTAGGATATCTCAAAACTCCTGTAATATAATTGCAAATGTTCTCACGCAGGCCTACATCTTTTAATAGCTGACCTTAAATCTTTATCCAGAGGGATCACCAAATGAAAGCAGCTTGAAGTGGCTTAAAGATGAACATATTAACATGTGAAACTGTGCTGAAACCACAAGTGGAAGGCTAAACAGTGAAGGATGTGATAAAATGGTTCCAGCTGTGCTCCCACTTCCTCTGTTAGGGAGTCCTGTTTGGTTTCTGTTGACACGTCATCACACGGTGAGAAATAGTACTCTGGACTTGCAGAGGAGCAGAACATTTTATCTGACATGAGTAGGACTCTGTTCTAGCTGTAGTTTTCTTGGCACTGGTCTAGCATGATGTCACTGTTACAGAGATGTCCGTAATGCGCGGGCAGACATCTTTCCGTGTTCAGGAAAATGACGTGAATATACAGGCTGTATAAAAGTTGTTGACCTGAGATCAGCGTCTAACTGCTCTCTGGATGAAGAGCGCAAATCTTTGTGTGTTAATGAGCTGTTTGGACTTTTGGACTCTTTCTGCAGCAGCATATTTCTCTGATTACACACTGAGAACTGCAGAAGGTTGGAAAATGTTCTGCAGGACGAAAACAGTTTTCTGTCCTGCTGTTTGTGCTCACATCATTTCAGTCAGAATAAACCAGAACAGACTGGAAGAACACGCTGCAGGCGTACACAAACACGTTTAACCTGTCCTGACGATTATGTGACCAGACTCTTCACAGCAGTTTTCCTCAGATACATTTGACTTCGTCTCTCCTCAGGGGCTGCTCTTTTCATTCATTCAGATATAATGCTTATAACACATCAGAGTTTAATGGGAGGCGGTGCTGGTTTTCTCGGTGATATGTTTGGCATGAAAGGACTCCGCATCGTTTGATGGGAATGAAAATTATCACTCACAGAGGGTTGAACCCTGAAAATCAAGGTGTGACTGGCTAGTCCAGTTTGCCCAAATTTCATTGCAGCAACTCAAAAGCGGTTCTCAGTAGTTTGTATGCCTCCCCCTCACCTGCTTGTATGCATGCCTGACAGTGTTGGGCCATGCTCCTGATGAGATGAGATGGTGTCCTGGGGATCACTGAGCTCCTGGATAGTCTGAGTTGTAACTTGGCATAAGCCAAACATAAGTTTTGAGCGCAATCTATCGGATTTAGGTAAGGCAAGTGTGGGGGCCAGTCAGTAGTATCAATTCCTTCATCCTTCAGGAACTGCCTTCATACTCTCGCCACATGAGGCCGGGCATTGTTGTGCGCCAGCGGGAACCCAGGGCCCACTGCACCAGTGTATCGCCTGACAACAGGTCCCAGGATTTCATCCTGATATCTAATGGCAGCCAGGGTGCTGTTGCTGAGCCCGTGGAGCTCTGTGCGTCACTCCATAGATATGCCTCTCAGACTATCACTGACCCACCATACTAATACATACGTGCTAAACGATGTTACAGGGAGCATATTGTTCTCCACGGCTTCTCCATATGCTTTCACGTCAGGTGACGAGCAGGACGCCAGTTCTGGTATTCTATGGCTAATGCCATATGGGCTAAGGGCCTTCTGTGGCCCTGTCCAGCACTCCCAGGGTACCTGCCTGTCTCCCAGAATATTTGGAATAATTTGTATTCATTAGCTTATCCTACTGTATTTTTCCATGTGGATGTTAGTGAATGAGGCCTAGTTGTTGTATATTTATATATTATTTCACTTTTTGTTTTTCTACACTCTATTTTGTTTTTTAAAAATAATACTTTTGCTCAGTTTTTTGCCTGTGGGTGAAGCTCTCTGCTGTGGCCACCTGAAAAGGTTGTGCTGATCCTTTACTCTGTAGTCAGACTCTCTGATGTTGGTGTTTGTGTCCTCAGTGGGTCCCCTGCGAGTGGAGTTTAACATTCCTGTAAACCTGGAGCTGATAAAAAAGGAGAACCCCAACGTGCAGCCGGGCGGACGCTTCAAACCCAAAGACTGCGAGGCGCTGCAGAAAGTGGCCATCATCATCCCGTTCCGCAACCGAGAAGAGCACCTCAAGTACTGGCTGTACTACCTGCACCCGATCCTGCAAAGGCAGCAGCTCGACTACGGGATCTACGTCATCAACCAGGTACACTTACGATGTGTGTTCATACATGAGAACAAAGAGACAATTAAAATCCTGTATGTATAAGTTCCACTGTTTACTTGACAGGGTGGACTGTTTGCCTCTTTGCGTAAAAATGAAATGAGAGAGCATGTTTATCCAGAGTTTGGTTTCACAAATAGTAAAATAATAAATCTGGTCTCCTGCCTGTGTGACGCCGGTGTTGGCATGAATGGCTCTTTATCCTCCCAACGCCAGATACATTCCTGGAATTCAAGCTTCAGCTTGTTGCTTACATGAAATAATCAGTTTGGAGACATTAAATACACTGTTGTGTCTGGGTGCTTCCTCCTCACTATCACTCCCCCTTACTGTGCGATGGCAGGAGTTTGTTTTGCAGTGTGCAGCTGTCAGTGATAAAAAGAAGTTTATCAAACGTGACTGATGGGGGTGTGTGCAGGGGGTTGATCTCGCTACTTCTGACCAGAAATACCAGTCAGTTAAGCTATTCATGTAGCTAACTATTGGTTTACAACAGGAATAAACCATTTATACTAAGTACTCTGTACAAAATCAAACTTTTTATTAATGCAGTAACTACCTTTAAAATTACTGTTGAGTATTAGATTAACAAGAAAAAGAAGTAATGAAAGCAAGCCATAGGGTTTAAAAATAAGATGATAATCTTTATTTATTTATTTTTGCCTCTTTTTGAACTGGACCCCATCTTATAACTAAAAAGGAGCAGTGGCTATCAGATGTAAAGCTCTTAAAGTTCCTCTTAGGGTGGAGAACAGTGGTTAAAAAAAGGCTTCAATCCTGGAACAATTAATGAAATACCTTTGAACTTCTCTGTCTACTCTTCAATCACATCATGATTGTTTAACATAAAAATCCACAGGTGGTTCACAGAGTATCTCACAGTAAGAACTCTAAACTTCTTTCTTACACGAAGCTTCTTCAATCAGCAGAATTTACTGTGAATTCTTGGAAACTGGGAGTGTGATCTCTAGTGCTATTGATGTTTGCAGGCTGCATTGTCACATACTTTTGAGGATTCTGGAAACTGTGTGAGTGAAAGACTGGTGGCTTTTGCTTAAGTACACAGAGAGGGTGTGTTCACTGTGTTTTGTGTTGTGCAGAAGGCTTATCAGCACAACACAAACTGGAGCAACACTAACGGCATTAGTGGCTTTGGAGCTGAAATTCGAGTCGGATCAGTCACCCATCTCAAACAATTTTAGGTTTAGATTGGACTCTGGTTACTAGGAACATTCATTGTATTGCAGTTACTCCCACCACTTATAGATTACCAGAGGAGTTATTTAACATCTCTCTTAGCAGGACTGAAGTAAATACTCTTAAATCTACTTTAAGCCCAACAAAACCCACTCAGACAAGTTATTATCAAAATAAACTATTGTTGTACAGTTTGATAAGCTGACAGATTCTGCTACGCCAAGATGGAGGTGATGATGATGTGTTTAACTAAACAAACGAATGTGTCTGTGTGACATCAAACGTTGTGTTTTGATAGTAATGTCTTTTCTCAGCTTCTTAGATCCTGTTCCTGATAAATCCTACAAAGGGAAACAAAACTGAATTGAAATAAAAATTCAAAATGAATAACTCTCATCTGTGTTGATTATTTTTTGATTACTTGAATAACAGGACAGTTTTTAGTTTTGGGGCTCAGAAGTCACCAGTGTTTCTGGATCTTTGCATAGTTGAAATGTTAAAATGTGTTTACACAGCATCCGGAGAGCTGGTGATATGCAGTAGAGGCCATTAATTAAAAACTTGTTAGAAATTTGTTATTGCTCCCAAATGTTGTACCTCTGGGCGCGGCTTTCTGCTGTCTGTGTGGAAATGAGAACTTTGCGTATAGTTACAGTCTGCGTGCTTGGTCTGAGGATCTTTGCTGAGACACTGACAGTAATGTTAGCAGTCTGGCTTGGTTTGATAAAAGCCAGCCACCAGGCCTCTGAGGACAGATAAGCAAGCTCAGGTGTTATTTACATGTAAATGAGCTGGTGCCCCACCTGCAGACAGAATCAGGGTCAGTTTACACCTGCCCAGGTGAACCCAGGTGACCTAACGAATGAATATTCGCTAAATACGTGGGAGTTCATTTGCAGAAAACCTAAATAACAGAGACGAGTAAACACGTTTACTGGTGTCTTAGCGCCTGCTTTTCCAGTCAACAAAGACCTCAGTGTTTTGCCTTTCTATACCATGTAACTCTATTCAAATATCTCCTAATTTACGTGCAGTCACTCTGCATGTATTCAAACCTAATCCAAATGTTTCCCAGCCTCCATTCAAATATCTGCTGATTTACCTTCTCTATAGGTATATGCTAACATAAACATACACAAAACTTAATTTAAAATAAATGCTAATATAACATCGGTCTGCACCTAGGCCAGCAGGAGGCTGTCGCTGATGAAAATTTCACACAATTGGATGGAAAATGCCAAACAATAGTTTTGTATTATAATCTTTTTAAATTAAAGGGTTTGAATCATAAATATTTAACACTCAGTGAATATATGTGGTGATAGTGACTGTTTACAAACATCATCTGGCACACGCAGCTGTTGTATGTAGTGTGTGTGTGTGTTGTTGTAACTGCATGGACCCCAGTGACTGAAGACTGAGCCTCATATTCAATCACCTGACTGATTTCTGAACTTTCTTCTTCTGCTTTGTTTCTCAGTGTGACTCACAGTTGTTGTTTTTCTCTCTCTTGTGTGTGTGTCCTTCCTCCTCCTCTTCCTCCTCACTGTGCTTATCTTGCTGCCCCTCCTCACCCCTCCAACCTCCCCTCCCTTTGCATGTCAGGCCTTTCTGACCAATGGTTGTGGCCCTGGAGACGCTGAGGCTCAACCCCCGTTTGGTGTTGACTGAGGGGGTCGCACTGGTAATACAGGCTTCCTTCTTCTCTTGTTTTCTATCTGCTCCAACTTGTTTCTACTGTATTTGTTTCCTGTGAAGCTTTACTAACCTCTTTGTGGATCTTTTCATTCTGGCAACAGGAATTTTATCAGTTCCCTTCGGGCGCACTTCCTATTTTTTTGCATGATTACACTTGTTAAAGCACGCTACAGAGCTGCTGTGATGCAGATATCTGCAGCAGCTGCAGATCTCAACTTGCCTTTGTGCCTCATGAAGCCACCTGAAGGATCTCTAGCTTTGTGTGCTTGTCAGCTGAAACACAACTCCTTTGTTGGGTTGATTTTGCCCTAAAAATAAATATGTTTAGTTTAGTCTTTTAAAAAGAACGCTTGTTTGGTTAGAGTATTAAAAACTACTTGGTTAAGATTAGTCACTAACAAGAACACAGTTCTGTTTAGGCCCTCCATACACCTTGGTCAGGTTTAGACTTTAGAAACTACCCATTAATTGGCTTCTGTACTTTTGGATGGAAAATCTGAAGATTTACATTTATGTAGATGTACATCAACCTTCATCTTTAGGCTCCCTTCACACCTGCTCAGTGCATAATCACCTGAGGTCTGTTTACTGCTCCCATAGAAACCTGAGTTATTATTAGCACAGCAGCAGCAGGCATGAAGTTCTGAAGTTTCTGTCATCCATCCCACGTGGCTGCTCACAGCTCCTTTATTCATCATGAAGGACAACTGGACCAGGATCAGTGTGAAGGAGTGTTGGATTCACTGCTGGTCTGTTTGTGAACAATGTTCATGAGCACCATTCACAAAGAGTTGGAGAATGGCTGCAGTAACAGCATTGTAAGATGGTGGAAGATGTACCCTTAGGTCCTGTCCTTGATTTAGAGATGGTGAGGTCTTCCTCACAGCCCATTGTTCATTCAGTGAGCTTGTTTCAGTTATTATGCAAATATACGGTTTATAATGTTGGGGAAACCCGCAGTCACCTGAGACACTCATGTTACACTTCCGTGAGATACTTTTTACCCCTCACTTGTAAAAAAAAAAAGAAAAAAAAGGCAGAGGTATTGTTGTCATCCCGCCAGGTAGCCATGTAGTGTAGACATCCAGGTCAAAGGTCAACTTTCCTTAAACTCACCTAGTGTGAGAAATCCTATCTATTAGGATGTTTTGTTGGCCATTGTGCCTTTTGATTGAAGAGCGAAGAGTGTAGACACACAGGATTTTATTTGATCAATGTGACTTGAAGCTGTCAGACCAGCTTTGAGTCGCACTTTCAGAAGTTTTATTTACTTTATGGGGTATTGCAGATGTGTGACTTAAATGGTTTTTATTTATCACCTCGAGGCTGTATGAAGATTTGGGTGGCTGGTAACAAGTCACCGAGGAATCCAGAAGACTCAGTCTAATAGCTTGAATGATCCATCATGCTGGGATTAACTATGTATTTTTTCTCATTTTCGTCCATCTGTTTATAGTTTCAGTGCACTGTAATAACCTCAGTTCGGAGCAGCTTCGTGCTGTCTTATTGTCCTTAAACGGCTCTTCTGACTTCACTCTCTCTTTGAAGGAAGTCATTTTTTTTTTCATATGAAGCAGAAAGTACACTAAATGCAAGAAAAATGCTGCAAACTTGCATAAAGTCATTAAGAGTGCAGCAGGAGACTCAAAGTCTGTCACCACTAAATGGGTGATGCAGATTAGGTTGCATTGAAAGTAGCCCCTGTAATCTTATGAGACGATAGTCGTATGTCAGCGCAGACATAAACATTTTTAAACCCAGTAAAATTTCATTAAACGGTTTGGGTTGTCTCAAAATCCTGCAATGTTTTAAGGTCATACTGAGCTTTGTCTTGTATTATCTCGACGGAGGCTTTTACTCATATCAGTTTCTGCATATTTGTACAGTTCAAGTTGTCTAACATTCTTCAAACCGGTCGATCAAGAACTGCTGTACAAGGAGACAAAAAAAACACTATTGTTTGCCTGGTGATGGATTCATTACATTTGATCTACTATATTATATACTCTACGATACAGGTCAAGTTTGAAAGTGTTTTTTGTGACTAACTTAACACTCTGTTCTTTAACCAGTGCCGCACTTTTAACCCGTGATTATCTGTGTGTGTCAGGATGGCGACGAGACCTTCAACAGAGCCAAGCTGCTGAACATTGGCTACGCGGAGGCCTTGAAGGAGTACGATTACAACTGCTTTGTCTTCAGCGATGTCGACCTCATCCCCATGGACGACCGCAACACCTACAAGTGCTTCAGCCAGCCTCGGCACCTGTCTGTGTCCATGGACAAGTTCGGCTTCAGGTGAGACGCCACAGGAAATAAAGGGATGAGAAACTTAAACGACAGTTACGCCACAGAAAACTGAATGGAGGTGCAAGACAAGCAGATTTATTGTGACCGTCTCCAATGAACTTGGGATCTCGTTGATTTGAAGTGATTACTTCAAATTCGGGGACCAGGTCTGCAATAACTTGCAGTCTACTGTTGTCTTCAAAGCAACTTTAGTGCATCGAGATGGGATGGAGTTAGTCTGCTATTAGTGATAAAAACTGTGATTGGAAATCATTTGCTGTCTACATTCACAGAAATTCATATGAACTTCTTACAGTCAAAGTCCAGTCAGAACCTCGTAGATTTAGAACAGAAGTTCAGAAATTCCTCCATAAATTGTGACGTAGTTGCTGCAGGACGGTGTTTTAATTGCAAATAACCAGAATACAACCCTGCTGATTTGAGTTGAGTCCCAATAAGTGGAGACCGACTCAGATTGATTGCAACATGTTGATGATCTGTCTGCATTAAATTAAATTTAAATAGAGGTTATTTGGAAACCTTTACCAATCTGTCTGAGAGTGATTGCAGTTGGTCAGAGTCAGACCGGGAATGTTTGGAGATGGGTTTTTTCTACCACCAGGTGACTTTTGCCATCAGTTTCTGATTGGAGGTGATTGCCATGGGGTTGTGTGTGCAACACTATCACTCTCACTTACCCAAATACTTGCAGTGAGTCACCAAATGTAAAAAAAAAAAAGAAAATTCATGCAAACACCAGACAACCAACAATTTAAATTTTTTTCTTCATTGTAAAGAAGCTGCTGTCGAATTTTTACTCATTTTACACGTGTACTTACAGACAGATAGTAATGGTTAATCAATTTCTTGTAACCCGACCCTGTTATTGAGGATCTCTTTGTCATGCTTTGAGCTGATGGTGTCAAACTCTGTTTGTTCTGTTGAGGTCAGCTGAGAGAGGCACAGTATGTGCCGTATACCTGTCAGATACATGTTTTGTAGCTAATGGGTAAAATTAATAATGTTTAACATCGTACACATAACTGGCATCACGGATCAAGTCAGCTAAAGTCATTTCAGGCAGTAGTTGTTTCCAACACACAGTCACTGCTTTCTTCAAGTGTTTTGGGAGGAGACTTTTAAAGGAGTCGTGTTTATCTCAGCTATGTAACCAAGGTCGAACACAAGGTCAGGCAGAATTATCTCATGATTAGTTCATAACAATACCTTGGAACTGTAAAAATGACCCCTGCTTGCATGCATTTAAGAGTTTTTGAGAAAAACATCCTCTTCCTTTTTCTTGCTGGATCCTCCAGCCTGTCTGACTACATTGCAACACAGGAGAGGCTGTGCAGCTGCTGATTGTAATGCTGTGTTTGAGGCTGGGATAACTATATAACACAAAAGTGATTGAACTCATTAGTCACCGTTTTGGAGTAAAAGAGACTTGTTGCTAAAGATAAATTTAAAAAAAGCCTCCTTGAAGCATTCATAGCTGAGAAATGAGGGTCTTTTTTTTTTCTTTCTAAAAATCCTTGTTCTTGGTCTCGCTGTGAGGTGTGAAACGAAAGTGCCACTTTTGGCGTCGGAGCATCCTGCAGAGCTGACGTGTCAGTACTCAGGTCTGGATGTGCTCAGCACTGAATCTGTGTTGTGGGCCGGGTTAATCGTGCAGACAGTGTGTAGTTCTAGTGAAGAGAACAGACAGACTTTGAAACCACTGAGAAAGAGGTGGGTACTGAAAGAAAACCTCCCTTCCTGTTTCCTGTCGCTGCTGTCCCTGAGCAACAGCGTTTCCTGTCAGGAAGCCCAAAGAAGCTGATGTGTGTCATTTCACCTCCTGCTGTTGTTCTGTGAAAAACAGGCTGAGCATGAAAGGAAAAAATGTCCACTGTCACTCAGATCACGACACGAAGTGTTTACACAAAACTGCTTTGTACAAATACAGGATGGTAACTGGTTATGAGAACAAGTGAAAGCTGCTTCCTCTATGCTCTGCAGGCTGCAGCTGAGTGAGGCCTTATCATGTCCAGCTTTATGTTTTTCTTCTTGACTTTATTAGAGTCACTTTGCACGATTCACAGTTTAGAATAATAATAATTTACCTTATATTAGGCCTTGGTGCAGTCCCTCAGTTCATGCTTTGTCTGAAATGAGCCATTTTAGCTCCTCTGCCTTTAATATCCAAGATTGATCATGTCGGTCAGGTTTAATGACCTGTTTGTCCTCTGCAGGTTACCGTACAATCAGTATTTTGGAGGCGTCTCCTCGTTGAGTAAAGAGCAATACTTGAAGATCAACGGCTTTCCCAACAACTATTGGGGCTGGGGAGGAGAGGACGATGACATCTACAACAGGTACATTTTCTGCTTTACATGCTGCAGCGGACTCGCTCGTGTCATTACAAAGACATCGCGTACCGTCTTTATACACATGTCGCATGTCACATGATCCACAGTCTACAGGTCAACCGCAGCTCCAGTGTCAGTTTTTATGTGTCTGAAGCTTTTATTTGATTTGAATTGACAGCAAATATGTGTTGTTATCCACTCATCAGCTAATGAATCATCATAAAAATGTGCATGAAAATTACCCACGTTTGAAAAGAACATTTTTATATGGGGCAAAAAGGAAATATGTAACATTTACAAACACTTGGAAAATAGTTTATAAAATTATGAAAATTTGCCTGGACAATAATAGCATTTTTTTTAAATTACCAAAAAATAATTCAATGCTACAAATTAATTATTACCATCTTTATTATATTTAAAAAATATATAAATCAAACAAAAATCAAAGAAAGACATTTTAAATATATTCTTTAAAAAAAACTGTTGTGTTTTCAGGGTGGCGTCTAAAGGAATGTCCATCTCCAGAGCCACCGGTGAAATCGGGAAGTGCCGCATGATCCGACACAACAGAGACAAGATGAATGATCCAAACCCACAGAGGTGCAGACCCAAATCATCATCACACAACTCTGCTTGTTATACCAGACACACACACACACAACACACACTGTCGTTTATTCTGCATGATGACAGGGAGTCACGCTGGAGTACACCCACTCTCCTGAACTGTTTTCACTTCATATAAAACTTGTCACATGAGATTTAATTTCATTAATTTCATTTCCAATGTTATTCCTCACTGTCACATACTTTGGAAATATAACATTGACTTTCACTGCTATGCTGATGATCCGCTGCAGTGTATTTCTTCCAAACCCATTTTCTCCCTTCCACCCATCTCTCTTTGATTGCTTTAAGAAGATTAACCATAGTTCTCTGATTTTCTCAAACTCAGTAGTAATAAAATTGAAGCTCCACCTGTCAGCACAGATTCCACTTTAACTAAATCCTACAGGTTTTCCATTAATATTGATGACAACTCCATCCTTCCCTCCGCTCAGGTTAAGAGTCTAGGTGTCATCCTCGACAGTACTTTATTATTCTTCCACTTAAGCAACATCAATCATCTCTGTCCCATCATCATTCTCCATGCTGCTGCCACGATTAGCCGACTAGTCACGATTACGTCGACTATCAAAATTTTCAATGACTAATTTAATAGTTGGCGCGTCGTTTGAAGCTTTGAAAGATCCCAAAAGACGCAGGAATAAAGTAGTAGGATTTAAGAGTGTAATAACGGACTAAAACAGAAGATGGCAGCACTGCATGTACAAGGATGCCAGCTGCCGTTAAACCCCGAAGAAGAAGAAGCAGTGTCCGGTATCGTAGCTGTGTCCAAATTCAGGAACCACATCCTCCTGTGCCTGCATTTGTAGGACGATTACGTTACAGCAACATGATGAAGACTGTCCAAATTCGAAGACTCCCGACAAATGCGGCCCCTTCATTTCCCCAGATTTGAAGGATGGGTCGGGTGTATACTTCGTGGCCCAACTTATCCCATAATTCATAGCACGGCCCTGCTCAGTTTCCAACAATGGCGGCAGCTAGTTAGTTTTGATATTACTCTTATTATTCTTTCTGGATCACAAAATAAACATTTAACATATTTTCAGGTGACAATGTAACGGTGTAAACCTCAAATATCTGCTCAGTTTATCAAGACACCACATACCTTCAAAAGTGCTCCGACGTTTTCGGAGACGTCTGTTACCCACCAGCTCGATAGCTAGCCGGGGTACAAGGCTCACAAGAGCCGGTGAGAACACCGGACTCCCGGCAAATCATTTTCAAACCCACCTCCGCCTTTTGCTACTCAGGTTAAACATGATATATAAGTCACTTAGATAACTTAAAAATGTTATTGTTTGGCTTTTTTTAGTATTTTATTTGTTCCTGAGTAAATCGCTTTGGCTGAGATTAAAGTTATAGTTTTTACACAGCTGAATAAACGTCAAGCAGACAGCTGATTATCAGAAGTGTGAAATGCTCGAGAATATACTCCGGTGTCCCGTTATATTTTAGATAGCAAGGAGCAGACGGCTGAGTTTATTAAACTCCACCGAGACAATCTGCTAATTTCATTAGAATTTAATAAACTATCATCTTGTCTTTATTTTTAGTTAGCACATACCTTAAACACTTAAAGCTGTAAGCTAATGATAGTTATATAAGAGCAGATGCATGCTGGTGCAATAAGCTGTACATTTTACATCCAGTGATCTGATTAGTCGACTAATTGCAAAAATAATTGGTGTCTAGTCGACTATCAAAATAATTGTTTGTGGCAGCCCTACCCTCCATGCTGCTGTCATCCTTGTCCATGGCTTTGTCACTTTTTGGATGGATTATTGTAATTCTCTTCTCTTTGGTCTCCCTAACAAGTCCCTTGATGAACTCCGGAATTCTGCAGCCTTGATCGTAACTCGCCCACACCCTCAGAGAGCACATCACCTCTGTGTTTCAGCCACCTCACTGGCTGCCTGTAGTGTCTAGAATCACTTTTAAAATATTGCTTTTCACTTTCAAATCTCTCCATAACCTGGCTCCTCCCTGCTTGTGTGATTTACCCCACATTGCTAGTCCCTCCCGCTCCCTTATGTCTTCTTCTGATACTCACCTTATTGTTCCCCGCACCCATCTCACCACTTTTGGGAACAGAACTTTAAGTTGCTCTGTTCCCCAGCTCGGGAATTCACTTCCTCTTGATATTAGAAACACAGGCTCTTTTCCCTTATTCAAGTCAAAACTAAACATGCATCTTCAAACTGGCTCACTCTCTTTAAACATCGACTCCAATTATTGTCTAATGCTGTTTTTTTTTTTTTATCCTTTTTACTGTTTGTCTTCTATGCTTTGAACACTGACCTTGGGTTTTAGTAAGGCGCCCACAAAAAATGTGTTATTATTGTTATCAGTACTGTTAGGTCTACACTTATAGACCTCGCTGACTGAGACTTATTCCCGTGAACAAAGCAAGACGAACAGAGATCGATCGGTTTTAACTTGCGCATGGGGAGCCCAGTTGGAATCTTAGAGCTGTGAGTTCTGCACCCAACCTCAGAGGCCTCCAACTCTGGCCCCCTCCTACAGAACATATGTCGTGTGTGTCCGCAACAGTGAACGTGTGATGTGTTTGTGTGAGCATGTGATGTGATCAGTGAAACGTGAATGTGTGTCTGTGTAGAAAACAGAGGTGAGCATTCATGCTAAAGATCTAATCATCTTGCACACTGACAACCATATTGATCCACAATTCTCTAACAAGTACCATTACTGATCAATATTTATACTGCTAATTAAAATGATGGCTAAATGTGGTTTTAAGAGTGAGGCTGTTGGTTCTGAAGGGTCTGGATGCTGTTTTTGGTTTCAGGTTTAACCGGATTGCTCACACTCGAGAGACCATGAACAAAGACGGCATAAACTCTCTGAATTACCAGGTGGTGAACATCCAGAAGCTTGACCTTTTCACTATGATCACCGTGGATGTGGGAAAGCCATGAAGGATCTGTGGCACCGGGACCAGGCTGAAATCCACACCGTGCCTCTGACACTTGAAGCTTTAAGTTCTGGTTCTGTTCCAGAACTACTGGACTGTTTCCGTGATTTTTTTTTTTTTTAAAGTGTTTTTGTTTTTTGGGTTTTTGCACAAACAGACTCATGGTTTGTGGAGTTTTTTCGGGGCCTTAAGGACTCATTTCTGATTGGTCAGCTGGAACCAATCAGCTCCCACCATCTGTGCGTCAGACGCTGCTGCTGGGATATTTCCTAAACAAGACTTTTGTTTTGAAAATCAGACAATCAGAGCTGCCCTCAGGGTCATGTGGTCTGGGCTTTACTGCTGGAGGATTAGGGGTTATTGAGTGTGTCTGTTTTACCTTTTTTTAAAAATCAGGTTTGTGATCAATGTTTCTTTTTTTACAGCCAAAGTTTAATCCAAAATGAAACAAGAGTCTGTTCCTCAATAGATTATATTACTAATTAATCAGCACTGATTGATTATCTGCTTGTTTTGATTCCAACAAAACAGAAAAAAAGAAAAATGATAGATTATCGGTGATGGTTGGTTTCTCTGTTGACTGATTAGCTGTACTTCATTTTGATTGATTGATTGATTGATTGTATCTCTAAGTGTCCTTATTGGTACCAAAGACTTTACTGATCCTGTGGATGAGGTCAACTGACTGCTGGACAAGTTCGTTTGATTATTGATGACACATATTGATCCAGTGTGTGTTATCTGTCCTGCATGTTCATTTGTGTCTGCAGACCAGTCTCCTCCTCACTCTGTGAACAAATCACCTGTAAATGTGCCTTAGTGGTGGGACTGGTGGAGAAGCCAGTGTATGAATGTGTGTTTTGTTTTGTTTTGTTTTTATTCCCTTTAATATGCCATGTGTATGTTTTTCTTGGTGTCTTGTTTCACTCGGTGTTTGTGGTGTTGTCTCTATGGGTCATGCTGTGCTGTAGATAATCATTTCCAGGGTGGAGGTCAGCCTGACCCACAGAGACGAAACGTGAATCAGAACACAGCAGGCTAGAAAAAAAAGAAAAGGTAATAATCCTTTTAAAAGCACTAAATTCAGATTCATAAAACCAGTTAAATTAATAAATACCTGAAATCAGATTTCTGTCCTGCTGCAGTGATTTTGGCTATAATATGTTTCTGTATGTGGACATTAAAGATGATGTGTTGGGCATTGTTTCCTCTATTTGCATTCCTTTCCTGTAATGCAAACAGCATTTCACAATTTAAAAAAAAAAAAGAAAAAATTAAGTAAATAAAGAATTATTTGGTTTCCCTGCACCAGTAATATGCTTTGATGCTTCTTAGAAGATTACAAAAGCTTTTGCTACTGAAAAACAGGTTTTTTAGTCAAATGTTATTCACAGAAGCCCCGCCCAACTGCTCTGTCTGCTTTGCCTGAAAAAGAAAGACACTATAGTCCTGTCTTCCTGTCTTCACCCCCAACTTGTTGCTGCAGATGGCTACCCCTGCCAGTGCCTGGTTCTGCAGGAGGTTGTCTGACATTGGGGTTTTCGTAAGCTGTAAGCCATAATCATCAACATTATAAAAAATAAAGGCTTGAAATATCTTTCTTCACATGTAATGAGTCTATAATCATATATTAGTTTGACTTTTTAAGTTAAATTAGTGAAATAAATTAACTTTTGCAAATCTTCAAATCTTTCAAGTTTCAGGAAATTCTATCCAAATTCAATAAAAGCTGTGCCTCCGAAGCATAACAGAAAAGGAACTTTGCTTTGATTAAAAAACATTTTACGCCAGTAAACGAAGGAAAGTGATACAGTCCTAAAAGCAAATATTTAAAATCACAGCTTAAAACTGACCACTGCATGTACAGAATCATTAGAAACAAAGTCACAGGGCAACTTATCAAATTTCTTCCTCGAGATCAGAACACAACAGAGAAATACTAAATTGCTGTTGAAAAGTATTAATCAGAGAGCGCCTGAAAAATATATCCATACAACTTCAAGTAAACTGGACCATACAAAATGACAGTCTCGTTTTTGTAAACAGTTTTAATGACTATTTTATTAATTTTTTTATTATTAATATTTTATTAATAAAATTTGCAGAAATACAATCTGCTTTATTTTAATTGGTAAAACTACTTTAACTCCCAATTACAAAGATGATGATAAAGTACGTAAAAAACTTTAGACTATAGCCAAACTCCTGAGCAAAGTGCACCTGGGGGCTTGATACTTTCCCCTAAAGAATTATAAGGACATTTTAACTACTTCTGTTAGTCATTTTATTAATTAGTCATTGGAGGAAGGTATATTCCCATGCCATTAAAAACCTCTACTGTAACTCTATCAATATACCACCAGCCTCTTCAAAAATGATTAAAAAGGTTGTGTCTAAAGAATTGATGGCCTATCTAACTGGAGAAAATCTACTCCACCCCATGCAGTTTGGTTTTCGAGCTTACTGCTCCACATCTAACTCCATCTGTCTATCAATGCCAACAAACTGGATTCAGTCCTGACTCCTGCTTATCTTACTGCTTTCAGTGTTTCAGGATAAAACTGAAAATATCATCATCGAGAGCCTGTACTATGGGAGTACCACAAGGCTCAATCTTAGGACCATTGCTGTTCACTATAAACAATTTAGTAAATATGATTTTCATCTGTGTGATGGTGTTAAAACCTTGATGTATGCTGATGACCCAGTGCTATATTTACACATTAAAGACCTTGAACAAATTGCTGCCAAATTAACATTCAGTATTCAAAAAGTGCCAAAATCATTCACATTTTATTCTGAATAAACAGAAATCAGTGACTATGTTCTTTCAGAATGAACACAACGTATTCACCCAAGTATCTACACTGATGGAAAACAGTTAAAAAAAATGCTGTTCAGTTTAAATATTCAGAGGTTACCTTAGATTCCACTCTTATATTTAAAAAAAAAAACATTTCAAAAAGATGTGCCATATGCTGAAATACAGCATAACTACTTTAATTCATTAGGAACTAACTGACAGTTGCTGCATCTAAGACATAATTGAATGCAATGATTCTTTCTTAAT